CCAGTTGTTACTCCACCAGGTCTGGTGGAGAAGGGTGGGGAGCTGGGGTTAGGGAGGGAAAGTCAAAAGCAAAGAACGAGCAAGGCTAATCAAAGCTGAGCAGGGCATCCTAGTAGGGACAAGGGTAATAACGATTTCAGAGCTTTACAGTTTTGTTTTTGATTGCCAGCATTTACCTTTAGAACTGTAGTATGTCCATAGTAGTTTTGCCCATCACTAATATCTACATACATTAGCTGGAGTAGACTCTTATGGTAAATCCAAATCAGTTTGGGGTTAAACTGGAATTAGACAGTAATATTAATGGAAGTTTGCTCAAGCTTTCTCAGTCTGGGCTGCTTTACAAGCATTGCAATCTGTAGTTATTCCAGGAAGAACTACTCATAAGAAAATTCTCAATAACTTTATTTAAACAATCTTATTGTCTCTCTCCATGCTAAGCTGATATATTCAAATTCAGGAGGAAATTGCTCCTTTGGAAAGACAGTATGCACTAAACTTTCTTCTACCTTCTAATTCAGTTGTCAAAAATAAGAACGGTACCCATGACCTCCAGTCTGTCCCACCAGTTCCAACAGTAGGCTTGCTTTCCCTGTTAGCCATCGGCAGTTTTATTCTACTTTCTTATTTTCAAATAATTTTTTTTGTTTCTATTTGCTAGATTTCCAAAACAAAGAAGGCCACTAGTTTCTATTAAGCTGTTCTTATATCTGCTGTTATGATCCCCAGTTCTACACATGCCCTACAGACAAAATTTTCACTGTTCAGTAATTGTTATCATAAAGGATCTGGATAGTTTTGTGATTTGCTCTATGGTGTAAGGGGGTGAGACTGATTTTATGAATGAAGCATTAGAACAAATAATTATTTTTTTATGGTATCTTCCATCATGGTGCTTTGAGACATTGTGATTTTTATTGAGTTGTTGTGAATCTTAGAGAAGTTGTCTTATGAACAGTTTACCTTTTTTAATCACAGCTGGTTTTCAGATACATAAAAACATCTGTCTAATGCCTCCAGAAAAAGAACAATTCATTTTTCAGAGGCTTTGAATTGCAAAATGCTGCATTCCAACTCCATCTTTTTAATGTTTCCCCATCTTTGTTCCCATTTAACACACATTATCTCTGTTTGAATTAAGTTAATCCTTAATAAACAGAAGGTAGCAGAAAAAATGGCATGTAAATTCATGATTATGACTGCATTAATATTGCTTTATGCTTGAATATTGTGAGCCTAACGTTCACAGCCTGTCACGTGGTGTTATGATATGTCATGATTTCGACACTCAGATGTATGCTGAAGTCTGTCCGTGTTCAGGAGATCATGAAGGCACTGAATTGATTTCAGTAGGACTACACATTGACTTAAATTCCCGATTGAGTATTTCCTGAATGTCAATGCTTTCATGAATCAGGGCCTTTAATCTGAAGAACTAAGCAGAAAGGTTGTTTTACACAAAAGCTAAGATTCATCACAGTAATTGAGTTGTTAAATTCTTTTTAAGTCACCAGGACTTGTGAGTGGTATTAAAGTTCAGTATATTTTTCATGCTTTGCTGAAGTAGAGTATGAATGAATATGGAGGCTTCAAAGCTGTGGAGAACAGGGCTTTGCTTTCTCTGTTTCAAAAGTAAGCACTGTAGCAAACACCTCTTAATCAGTGTAATGTTGATGATAATATAATGTTCCACCCACCAAGTCCTCATTTAGGCCTACATAAAAATTCAATTGTGGATTATTTCATTTTTGCCTTTAATTCTTTGAACAGGAAGTAGAAAGAAAAAGAGTGAAAGAAATATGGTAAATATATGCTAGATTTTCTTACAGAGTTTACTCTGATTGAGATGGTTTTTTAAACAATTATTATTATTTTGTTCTTGTAGTTGGTTACACAACTGATGACCTGCGGTTTATCTGGCAGTCTGGAGATCCTGTACAGCTAGAGAAAATTGCTCTGCCTCAGTTTGATATTAAAAAGGAGGATATCGAATATGGTAACTGTACCAAGTATTATAAAGGCACAGGTAGGTAATATAAGTTATTTTCTTGGTAAAAAAATTTAAGCTTCTTCAATTACTGTTTAAGATTAATGATTAATGCTCCAGTTCATGTCTTACATTCTATGGGAGAAAATAGCTTACTTTTAACAAATCAGTAGTTCATATAATAGTAACTATCACATATAATTACTGCAAACTAATTCAAATATAGAAACATCTAGGTTGAAGATGAGATTAAATGTTTTTCTTGGTTTTGCTTACATGTCTTCTGATCTTCCTATCACCATTTTGTTTCTGTAGTCCTAATACCTTTTTATCTTTCTATCTTTTCTGATAGAATGTTCATGTAGAATTATGCCAGTTGCAGCAAAGTAGGATAATTTTGGTTTTCTGGTTCACCTTTTGTTCCAGAAGTGGGTGGTATGAGAGTGTAACTGCAAATGCTTCGCCCTGCAGGTTCTGCCTTTCTCTTAAGTGTTCTGGAAAGTCTGTCATTACAGAAAGCAATTTACAATCCTCAGCCCTGTATTTATTCAATCCTATGATTATTTTCTGAGTGTGGGCACAAATTTATCCAATGGTTTCTGTACTCTGGCTTCTAATGATTTATCTTTTCTACCTTGATTGATTCCTACCTGTAATTATATCCAAACTACTCACATACTGTGGCAAGACTTTCTACAATAACAGAAGTCAGCAGGGTGTATTTTAGTCAGTGCTCTCTCATCATATGAATAAATATCCCATTAAAACTCAACGAGGATGGCTGGGGTGCTGCAGCTTCTGAGGACCCTCTACAAGTTTCTTGTTGACTATTCAGCTGAAGACAAGGGTCTGTTACTTGCAATTGCTCCTAAGCTAGATCCCAAGTCTGAAGAAATCTCAAGTAACCTTAGTAGATCTCAGAGTTAAGGAATTTAACTTGAAAAAGGTAATGAAAATTGAAATTAGGTTTGTTTTTTTAACCATAAAATGAGTGAGTTCTTAGCCTAACTATGTAATTCAGTATCTCGGGTGATTTACCATTTGTAAATAATATGAAATTAGCTCCCCTCAGGAAAATTCTGCATTTGTGAAAACACTACCAACTGTCAGTGATTGCATTCAAATCTAAGTCTGGATATGGTAAAAGTTTACTTAGCACTGAAGAAAAATACTTTGTTCTTAATTAAACAATGAATTTACTGAAAAAAATAGACTATAAAGTAGTGAAAAATTAAAGGGATGGATCTTGCAATTCCCAAATAAAATTCATACAAATACGAAAAATGGAAGACTTCCATTCTATTTGAGGGAAAAAGGAAATACTTACTCAAGATCTTGTTATTGAAGTTATCATGATCATTTTGAGTTTTGCCCTAAATCTAAAATTAAACATCTAAAAGTCTTCAGATATTCTAGGTATTTTTAGGAACCTTAAGGAAAAATCTAAGAATTGTACACTTTTCCATTAAACAGGAAAGAAAATCAGTAGTGTTCTCTCAATTTTCAGCACCTTGTAACCACAGGTTGAAATGACACTGTGCAAAGTGCTCAGTGGTCACATTTTGTGTGTGTGTGTATGTGATTTGAACATTAAGGAAAGAACATTAGAGAACTGTCAGAGTGGGTGGAGTGACAACATGAAATTTTTAAAAACTTTCATAATTCTTTTATTGCAAATCCTTTTAATTTAAAAATTAAGAACATCCATGTTAATCTCATAATCAAGACTGGAATTAATACTTCATTAATGTGAATGGAATGTTTTAGTACTCTGATGTATTTTTAAAGGTTGTTTTCAGTAATCAGTAGTTGTTTGATTTACTCTAAATTCTTATAATGAAGGTATTTAAAAAAGCAGATATTATACACATAGTTAAAATTAATTCAGGACAAGGATTTTGTCAGGTAATCAAAGAGGCAGTGTTGCATGTACAAGCAAATTTTCAAAATTATGACTTATGTAGGAGATTCTTGCCAATTGCAAAGAACTTTACTGCCTATTTCAACTGCCTTTACTGCCTATGTCAACTGATGTTTTATCATACCTACCTAAGTAGAAGGAGGATCAACAATTTGGGGTGACTTTTCTGCAGCAATAAATTGAATATTTGAATTTGAAAATTGCCTGTTCTTTTTTTGTCAAAATGTATGACAGATCCAAATAGGTCATTGTGAGCTGAATGGTGAAGGCAATAGGTACTATTCTCTGCCTGATGAAAGATGATACAAAGACATACAGAATACATTTCTGGCATAAAGCAAAAAATAATGATTTTGAAGGTCATCCCTCATTTGAAAATAAAACCTAAAAGTATCTAGAAACTATTCAGAAATTATAGAGGGGAAATTTGTCAAACAACAGATCATTGAAGAAAATAGAATGAACTCTCAAATACTGTATAGTGTCTTCTACACAAGGAAATTTTTCCTTAATGTTTTATTGTTTTGTTGTTTTGTTTATTGTATGCCCAAACAGCACTTTGAAGATGATTTATCATGCCACAGCACTTAATTGATAAGATATAGAAGATAAATACATATATTTTTGACAGATTCTATCTTCTAAATCAGCTTTGCACCAACTGTATTATAGATGTAGACAGATCTGAATTTTGAAATTGCTGTAATATAACATAGGAATGCCTTTTCCTTGTGATAGAATCATTTATTAAGTTGTTTTAACAATGTTATTGTATTAATATTAACTTAAAAATGCCAGTTCTGCTAATTGAGTAAAAATATGAACAGAATTTGTTTTCTGGCTATCATACTTCTCGATCCCTCCGTTATGTCCAGCAAAACCTCTAGTATCTGCAGCTTTTTTTTATTGAATTCATATTAACAAATATCTTAAATGTTTGGGTGATATAGATCCTAATTTTAAAAGATTTGAGGCAGTACTCCTTGTTCTCAAAATTAACAGTGGTTTTAGAGTCTTTTTTTAAAAAGTCTGTACAAATTTTAGAAGTCACCTGTACCAATTTCCAGTACTGGGGGAATGTCTGCTTAGAGTCACATTCAGATCACCTCTTTCCATTCTGAACTTTTTACGTTAATATTTCTTAGTTCCATCTTTTGCATGAATTAATGCTAAATTAATCTTAAACAAGTAGGATTTTCAGATGAGCTTAAGCTAGTATGACTGCTAGGCCCCATTGGCTTTATCTGGACTGCAGCCTGAAGTCAGCATCACGATGGGAGTCACTTTAACTGCCTGTTACTGATGCGCTGTGAAAAGACGGAGGGTGCCTTATGGAGCACAGAGAGTACCACATACCTGGCCACACTTGGCTGTTATATAGTTCTGTGTTTTGAACATTTTTATTCTTTTTTTTCAAATTGAACTCTTTGCCTTTATAAAGAAAATCAAACCATTGAACTTTAGTTCTTAAATGAAAAAAGGCCTAGAAGATATGGATCTGAAGAGGTTGACCTGCAAAGCACATTAAACATTAATGCATTTATTTCTTTAAAGGTTATTACACTTGTGTAGAAGTAATCTTCACTTTAAGAAGACAAGTTGGATTTTACATGATGGGTGTTTATGCTCCTACACTGCTAATTGTTGTTCTATCCTGGCTGTCTTTTTGGATCAATCCTGATGCAAGTGCTGCAAGAGTCCCACTGGGTAACCTGCGTTTACACGTACCATCACAATCCACTTTAACGCCATTGAGCCATTCTCAGTTGCTTTGACAACATGACACCGGACACTGAAAGCAACTTCACTTCCATTATCCGCTCATCATTTTCACTGAAACCTCCTCATTCCTAGTCCTGTAAAATCCACCTCCACATTGAGACTTCACTTGATAATAGTTCTGGCACTTATGTGGCAAGCACACTGTCTCTGCTCCTCTCAACCCAGATAAATCTGATCTTACCCATGTAGGGGTGATGCTGCAGACACTGTGGCAATACGCAGTTTATAGGAATTTGAACATCTGAATAATCAGTAAGAAAGCAGGAAGATGACTAAGGCTCTAAATAGCTACCTCTTGGAGCAGTTTTTCTGAAGAGTAGTAGAAACAGAATGATGTCTGGAGGAGAATTAGCATCCTTGTTACCTGATTGGGTTTATTTCGTTAGAGACTCAGTTCATGAGAGTACTTCAGGCTCATGCTTTCATGCTGCTCAGCACAATGCAGTAGGCAGGCCCTTCATTTATTGTGAGATGGTAGGACACAGAGTTAATCAAAACAATATTATCTTGACTAACTGGATTGTACATGGGACTCCAGCTCTGGGGTGGCCAAACCTGCTGACCCCAAGAGCTCAATGAAATGCAGAGCCAGGCTCTTGCATCCTGATGCTTCTCCTGTTTGGATTCCTCTCCCCATGCCATGAGTTCTCCTTCTCCGTGCTCTGGCCTCCCCATGCTCCTCTTTTCCCTGGCATTCCTCCACAAGTCCATACCCCTTATTTTCCAAACCTTTTCCGAGTCCCAGGAAGTTCAGCACACCTGTTTTCAAGACCCCGGGGGTGGAGTTGCAGACTCCCTCCAGCCCCCTGCCTTCCTCAGAAGCCTCTCACCCACACTTGAACCTCCTCACCCCAAAGGACATGAGTCCTGTGCAGCCTCAGGTGTGTTGGTAAGCACTGGAGACCCTTGGAGTCAGGACCTGCTGCATCACCTTTCCAGTCCCTATCTGATCAGTAGAGTCTTGGAGTAGTGGGTAGCTGAAATCCCTGTGTTAAGAGCCAGCTGGAGCGGGAAGGGTGCCTGCCAAACTTTGTTAGGTGGAAAAGTGTCCAGCCCCTGGCCTGAACCCCACTGCTCCCGTCTAAGGCCATCTACCATGCCTTTTCCTCCTCCAGTGATATGACAGGCAAAACAAACTAAGCTGTAAAAATTCTGGGGAACCATGACTGGAGTGCTACTTTTGGCTTCTGAGTCATTGTTGGCTACCTTGCTCTAATTACATGTAACAAACCCACTAATTATATTTATTGTATCTTTTTTCTAGGGGTCTGTTTCAGAATGCAAATCAGTTTTATTTTTCCAGACGCTTAAAAATATTAATAGTTACTTGGGGAGGAGTCACAGTCTATATCAGTTTGATAGCAAGTGACACACGTAATCTCTTATCTTGAAAAGTAGCAAGGATGCATTCCATAATGTGAAGTATAAGACATTTTTAGAAAAAAAAGCATGGCGAAAATGTAGCATGTCTTGAGTTAAAAAGATAGAAACAAGAACTAGAAATATTTTTGATGCAGTGAGCTCTAATGTGATCAAAACCTAAGCTGTATTTCTACTTCTATAATCCTGCACTTCAAATAGCTGACCAGGCAGGCTTATTAATTATATATTAGATTTATAAGAAGTATAGTGCTGATTTATGTAACATGGATATCTTTGTGACTAAACGCACATGCTTATTTATTGTTTATTTGCTTTAATTTAAGTATTTATTGTCTCCTTTTATGTATTAGCATTTCTGAAATAATGTATTTTCAAAGATATTAACCATTGGCCTGGTTACGTGACTTTTTCTGACTCCCCAGAGAAGCAAAACCCACTAAATCTGACCGTCCTTTAGTCATGAGTCAGTGTTTAGTAATGCAAGTTGATAGCACTGTCACTGGGGTAAGTTTTATGTTTCTCCAGTTTGCAAGGCGGTGACAAACTAACTCTTCTAGCTACTTCCTTGAAGACAGTTGACCTTGAAATCTACCAAGATTAACATTTCTGTGTCAAGTGGATGATATCTAATCCCAAAACAGTGTTACCAATGGCCACTACACTCTCAATGGCTAGATACAGATCTCATCAGATGAGAAGCTATTTCAGATTTACTTAAGAATATCTTAATACAGTCATCCTTAGAATTAAGTACAGTGGGCTACGGCTCTGCATGGCTGGGCATCTCAGAAGTTTCCAGGTGATTTAGGGATACAAGATCCTTTGCAAACCAGTAAGCAGAATATATTTTTGTAGACGGATTAATGTTCTGGGAGAAGAAGAAGAAAGAGCCTTTGTCCATGTAGGAACTAAGTTGCAAGCCCTGTAACATTTCACCCGGTTAGATCATCTGGTGGTAGGGAAGTCCACAAAGGGCTGGTACCTGGACAGCTGTGGCTAAATGACATAAAGGCTGATATCACTGAATGCTTCTTCCTAATTAAATGCTGTTGTTTCACCTTTTAATGAGCCCGACAGAGGACTCTCCAGTTCTTTAGAGACAGACAGTGTGCCAGCATCTGTTTAAAAAATTCCTTTCGCTCCTTCACTGCTGTGTGATCCCCAAAGGGAGTAAGGTCTTCCCTGGAGCTGTAGGGATCTGAGGGACGTTGGGCTTCTGACCACACGCAGCGTGCTGGCAGCGTGGAGCATTAGTCCAGAGCGCAGGCGGGGGTGCAACAGGGTAGCTGAAGGCTTGGAGTAGTGATGTGTGTATTCCACACATACAAAGGACAGCTAGATCTGAGGCCAGGCATGGCCCTGCCCCATCACTCCTGTCCTCAGATCTGTCTTAGTTCTAGTCATTTCATTGTAGAAAATTGTAACAAATGTAGGGTCTCAGAAGAAGACATAAAAGTATAAGTTAGCACTGTAATGTGAAGAATTGGCAAGAGAATGTCTTTTAGTTTATGAAGTTTAATGGGAGAAGAGAATGTATTAGAGAAATTATAAGGAAAGGAAGACAGAATATTACCTTTTTCAATAACATTAGTGAGATGAAGCCAGACATTTTTAAAGCAGTAATATAAACCAGAAAATACTGTTTTATAGAACATATAATTAACCTGTGGAATTCACTGCCAGAAGGTATTGCTGAGGCCAGTAAGTTTGATGGATTCAAAAAAGGGAGATTTACTTTATCTGCAGCAGGTGCTGAAGTGCTTTGCTGGATTGGCCCTTTCTGGTTTTATCCAAATGTAACCTTAGGCAGTATTTTTAAAATAGTAGCGCTGTACAATCATGCTTTAGGCTGGGAGCTAACTAAACTTACTTATAAGCTAAACTTTGCACCAAGAGAGATACCACACTAGGGGACAAAAATGCAGAGTATTTCCTGGAAAGGCCGATTTTCCCTTTACTTTGCAAGTGTAGAGGAAGGAGCTCTATCCCTTCTCTTTAGTGCTCCCTGAGAAGAAAAGGGGGATTTTTATTTTTTTTTTAATGAGTAGTCTTTCAGTTTATTTATTCATTCTCCTCACTGAGCCTCAGGTTTTGGACTGCGTTAGGTAGGTACCTGATGCAGTTGCTGCCAGAGGTGCAACTTGCAACTCCGGTACTAGGGTCTCCAAGGCCATGCCAAGTCTGATCTAGCAGCAAACGGTTGCTTAATAGAATATTTCTGTGCTTCTATATCACTTCATTGTTAACTTGAAAACCCAGAAGTTTCTCGGACTCTGAGAATGAACTTTTCATCCTAGGAATCTAGGCAAATGGAAGTTGGCAGCAAATCATCATCGCCTCAGTTGCTTTACTGAACAAATTGATGAAAGCGCCACTAAAATCTTTTCAGCTAGTAGAATTTATAAGTTAGTTTTGTAGAATTAAATCCAAGATTGTAAGATCAAGTATTTTAAGCTCTACGAAGTGGTTGTACAAATGTTTTAAGCACCAGGCATGATAATATTACTCACATATTAAGATAGTAAACACTTGTAAAGTTAGTAGGAAAAAAATTACAATATCCAAAATGTTGAGCCATTCTATATCATTGGCTAACTTGGTTCTTCAGGGGAAGGGTAGAGGCTGCCTTTCAGAGATCTAGCATAAACATGGCATGGTACTTGATACAGCACACTGTTAGAGAATGAACAGAAAGCTGGGCATACACAGAGGTGTTCTGTATATGTTAAGAAGCAATACAGCCTTATTTGTACTTGTTATTGCAGTTCATTATGATCCATAATTAGTGTTCAGCCCAAGACAGCTGGTGTTGGTCAGTGAAAATAAATTTATAAAAAAGGAGACTATTCTATGCTGAGTTTCTATCCTAACGGGCATGTTTATACTTGAATGCTTCAGATACAGTAGATCAAAAATAAGCTAGAATGGACAGTGAGGTTTGTTTGTTCAGTATTTACCATGTCGTTATGATCTGACATAGCACATCTGGCCATTCTGTATTATCCCAGTGGACAAACAAATCCAGCTTTGCAATGATATGTTGTTATTACACATTTCAAAATAAAACACCATATGATTCTGTATTTTGAAGTCATATGACTATAATGATTTCTTTATAGTTTCTCTTCAGTGTTTTAGCAGCTAGTAAGTTTCCCATTTGAGATTAATATCAAATAAATTACCATATCAATCTTATTGAAATCCAAATGAGAACAGCAGCAAAATAATTGTTATTTATTATCAACTAGAATTTAATACTTTCAGTTTTATTAACATTTTCACATCCTCGGTTACTTAAAATGGATCTGAAGAAAATGGTCTCTCTAAGAATTACAATTTTTTTCATGCTTAGGATAACACACATGACCAATATAAGAAACATAGTTAAGACTGAGTATCTCCTTTTGGCCAACATTTTCTACAGACATTGATTACATTTCATGAAGCCACCTACTCATAGCTAAAGAAGATTTTTATCATTAGTGTTCACAAAACAAAAATGGAACATTCTGAATTGGGAAGGTGAAAAAAGTTTTCCCCACATGACAGCCATTTCTAAAGTTAGCTTTTTCCAAATGTAGCTGTTCGTGCTACTTTTGCCGTTTCATAGGAGCCGCTTTGAGATCAGGCTTGTATTTTGTCTCGCAATGTGAACCCTGTGTTGATGGTGACATTTGGAAGCCTTGTAAGGAGCAGTGCTTGTTGAAACCTAGTTTGATGATGTGTGACCTTTCAACAGCTTTTGCAGATGGTTTTAATTTTTTTCATGATAAAGGCTTCCTGAAAAGCCCTTTATCTAGAAAGCTCCCTCTAGATCCTGGAAGCAGAAATAGGGAATAATTGTAGACCCTTGGTCACCTCAGTGTTTTCTTCTTCAGAGTGAATTGGGAACACAGACTTTTTAATGTGCTGGTACAGTTTTGCTCTTTAGCAGAAACTTCCCTTTCACCTAAGTTTTGTGTATCACACTTGTGGACAGGTCATTCAGAGAACTGCCCCTGCCTTAGCACAATTCAGATTTCTGGGACAACAGTGGCTCTTCAAGTCCAATTTAAAGGACTTGGAGTCTTTTGATTTAAGTATCATATATTTCTCTTCCGTCTTGTCAGACTTAGACGCACCATTGTACGATAAGTGTCTGGAAAGCCCATTTCCCAGTTGTGTAATGAAGCAGGAAAACCAGCGCAACCAGTTTAGCCTCACTTATTTCTTTCTCCGTTTACAAAATGAAGGTACTCATTATTAATAATTCATCACTAACTGCAGGATCCTACATGAGTATTCAGTTTAACTTGTTCATTAACTGAAGGCACGTGCACTTTGTCTACCTGCTGCAAAGTACACCGACCGCATTGTGAAGTGCCATTCACCGGTACAGAACATCATTCAGTGTCGTCTGTTTCAGAGGAAGAGCACAGCCAGTGTCAATAAGGGTAAGTTTTCTTTAATCAATATATTGTTTTTCTTTCCGTAGGTATTTTCTCAGTGCTCAGCTTGGCATCTGAATGTACCACTCTTGCTGCTGAACTTCCCAAAGTGTCTTACGTAAAGGCCTTAGATGTCTGGCTGATTGTTTGCCTTCTCTTTGGGTTTGCATCCCTGGTGGAGTATGCGGTGGTTCAGGTGATGCTAAACAATCCAAAGAGAATTGAAGCCGAAAAAGCAAAGATTGCCAAGGCAGAGCAAGCGGAAGGGAAGGGTGGAAATGCTGCCAAGAAGAACACCGTGAATGGCACAGGGACTCCTGTCCACATCAGCACTTTACAGGTAGGAGCTGCGAAGCTGTGTATGCGAAATCAGCATTATCCTCTGTTAATGCAATTCCAGGAATATACTGTCATAATAGTTTTGGATAGTGCTTAATCTTAGAAGTGGCCCAGACATTAAAAACATGCTGGTAATTAATGGCTAGCAATCTGACCAATTGGTCCCTAGTGATTTGGGGTCAGAGGTACTAAATGAAAAATTTGTCTTTTAATATCCTAGCGCCATGGTTGCAGCTGAGCTTCAGGTAAATAAAGTAGCAAGCAGCTTTACAGTTGCTATTTTTCTCATAATAAATAGCAGCTGTCAAGCCGTAACTATTCAGAGGACGGGACTCTCAGGCAGTATTTGCTGAGAGTGTACTCAAATAACACCCGTCTCATTGCTTTCCCCGGGACGGCCACAGCTGCACCGCATTGCATGTCAAGCATCTCTGAAGCCAGGGATCCAGAAGTCTTGGCATTTGTAAACAAAAGACAGGTCTGTTTGTCTGTCAAACAGTTTCTGCATTTCTTGTGTTGCCAGATAGAGCCTATGGGTAAATTGGTCAGATCTCCTTATATGGATAAAGATGAGATGTACATCTTTGCTCAGGCCAGGGTTTTCCATTATGATGTTCTTGGTGTTGTATAACTCCCCCTTTGTGCTCCAAGAGTTATCAGGCATCCCAGGCCAACTGCCTTCAGTCCTCAGTGATATTTAAATGACATTTATGCTACAGAAGAAAATACGTTATGCTGCAATATATGAAACACAAACTTGGCCTATCGTTTTCAATGACTCAGCACTTTTGACAGGTAAAATAAAGCTATTAGGCCAGATCCAAGTGATAATACCAGTAACATACAATGTGACTGTAAAGCTTCTTTAAGGAGGGTGTAGTTTATGCCAGAATGGCAGAAACCCTGTCCTAGCATCAAGCTGGCATTGCCCATATCTAATTACCCCCAGTCCAGAGGAGCTGCAGATATTGCAGAGCAGTGCACTTTATTACCATAATTCTCATCTGTTAGAAGAGTCTCCTGGGAACTGCTCTGGCAGGCAACCAGGCTCAGCTTAGAGCAACCCCATGTCTGCTTTGACTTGTATCACAAGCAATTCCCCAAGCCCAGGCAATGTGGGAACCGAGTAGAAAGAAAGATGGCTCTGCCACAGTTTTGCTTCCCCTAACCTGAATGTGATACTTTTGTGTTCAGCAATTTGTGGGTCCCAAAATCAGATGTTTGTTGTGACAAAATAGTTGCAACAGTCCAGCAGAGCAGCATAAAATATATTTATTCCTATTTCAAGTATTTAAGAAGTGTAAGCCTACAGCTTGATCAATGACAAGATTAACAAAAAAATATGTTTTTTCAGTGGTGTGAACAAAACCAAATTGCTAAATTACTGACTCTCCTGAGTGTGTACACCCTTTAAGGTGCTTGCCATTGTCATAGCCATAAGGAACATAAACCAATAAATTTTATCAGCTATGCTATCTTTTCATCTTTTAATAAATTTTTTCAAGAAGTCAAGTTTGAGTGTACAGTGCATTTTAAGACTTAGAGGAAAGGGAGTCATTGACCAAAAAAATGAAGCAACTTTCCCCACGAATTATGTCTAGCAGTATGTTTTTAGGATTCAGACCTCAGTCTGCCCTCCCAAGATCTTGCAGTGTCTCCCCTCCATGACCTTGCAATGTCAGGTCCAGTATCTCATGTTTGACCTGCACTTTTCAGGGTATTCCTAATTTGTTATCAGAGACCTTTAACATTCCAATATCTATAATCTCTGCAACAATAATCTGTGTTGGATTTATATGGAGTCCTGGGCATGCGTAGCTTCTGGTGATCTTTATACAGAAAGTTACAAAACATTTGTTTACCAAGACATACTGGAAATATGTATTAATTGCTGTAAAAGCTAGCCATGTGGCTGAGTGGTCACCTCTCCTCGTGGCTAGTGATCCAGCCACCTGCTTTGAAATATAGCCTACCTGAGGAAGGGTGTCCTGGACTGGTCGTTTCTGGGAAGATCACCAGGCTGAGACAGAAGAAGGTCCCAGACCGATGAATCGTTTGACATCAGGACATGGTAGGACAGTGATGCTAGCTTCCATATATTTGAATGCTGTAACACTGCCTGGCTGAAAACTCCCTCTCTGAACCAGCTACTGCGTAGGAGCTCTTTGAAAAGTTCTCAGCCCTGGAGAAGCCTGTTCTAAGCTCCTAAATCAGAACAGGTCTAAATCTTTCAGTAGCTCTGGCTCCTAATCCAAAACTAGGCCTGCCCCACAAAATTTGGATCACTCCTACTACCGACCTAGTAATGTTCAAGTAGAGAATGCATTTTGCAAATATGCGAGGGAGGGAAACATTAAAGAAACAGGTAACGGAAAAAACCTGTATGTTGAAAGGCATAAAGAATATGAAACAAAAAGAGGCCAGAGTGCTACCCCAGAACTCTGGGAGCTGTTTCTCATCAAGGTCATGTAGGATTGTGTGTGAGGAGAGAGCAAATACTGTGCTAAATGTCTGTAAAGACTTAGGCAAACCGATGTATAGCTTTAGGAGAAAAGGATGACAACTTGGAACTGTACCCTTGACATGAGTGTGCATCCTACAGAAATGTTCGAGGATGTTCTCTTTCCACATAGGAGGTGATGCTAAGGCAAAAGTGACGGAGGGCATTGCTGGAAATCTCACCATAGCTAAACTTGAAGCAGTGGATAGACCAGATGGGGCTCAAAGGTAAAGCCAACAGGAAAGATCTGGAAGCAGAAGACTCCAAGTGGGGAAAAACAGAGAGCATGAATAATTGCATTTGTAAATGTTTCTCCAGCTTCAATGAAGCACTTCTGTATGATGAGACATTAACTGAATGGTGCTGATACATATCTGCAAGTTATTAGAGGTGAATCAATTTTAAAAAAGAGAAATTCCTTTATTTCACTTCAAAATGCCCCTGATCCCAGTGCCAGGCCAGTTTCGCAGTGTTCCCCGAGCAGCAAGTTGCGCTCTTGCTGCCTCTCACAGCCATGCAGCATTGCAGCAGTGATGTCTCTGCAGGAGATTTGGGGAAGGGGCTGGTACGTGAGGTACAGCAGGATCGTTGGGGTTGGAAGGTCCCAGGCGTGAGGAGGATCAGAGGGAGCACAGGGAAGCAGGTGAGGTGGTCAGGCATCCCTGGTTCCAGCCCTCATGGAACAACTTGCTTGCATGTGCTTGCTCCATTTGTGAAAGATAAAAATGGCATCTGGTCTGGAGACTTGTTTGATATTAGTAAAATCAAGCCATAACAAAAACATGTGATCATACTTAAAAATACAAGCAGCCATTGTTCCTTTTTTATGACAAGAAGTTGGGTAAAGGGATAAACTTTTCAGTATATTCTAAATATTAAAAGTTTGATTCCATTCCTAACTGAAGGCGAGGAGAAGAGATCCCCTGTAGCAGAACCTGTAAGGGTCCACCTGAAAGTTTTCAGTTGAAAGCACTACTGTGGCAGTAAAGTCAGTGATCATGACCGATAGTCGCCAACAGCAACCGTGAAAATGGCAGGATGAAAACAAAGCTCACAATCTGAGAATCAGCCAAAGATGGAGAAAGCCTTCCATGGATGCATAGCTGCTTCTCCTCTCCACCAAACCCTGGGTACTGGCTGATGTAAATGAAAACTGTATGTTGCCAGCATACGCCAAACCCCTGAGCCCATGCTTTATGACTCATGCCCCCTCCAACAAAAACCCTTGAAATGTCAGTGCCATTTTAAGCCTACAGTTTTATCGATATAACTGTCGGACTGAAGTCAAGTGGTCCATCTGGCAAACCCAACCTGAATCTGCAGGAAAAAGAGAAAATTCAACATAAGCACTTCTGCTGTGTTTGCTAGGAGCTGCAATGTCTATGCATTTACAGGCAAGAAGCCATGAGAAAGAACAGTTTGGCTCCCTTAGCTCATAGCGGCTGCAAGTAGATGCTGTTCTAAGCAGAGGAGAAAATTATGCAACCTGGTGGTAACTGCTGGCACTGGCTTTTTATTGGGAATCCTCAGTAGGAGTTTGCATGTTTCCTAGCAATGTAACATCATACAGTGAGAAAAACAAGCAACAAGGGAAATGTTTTGAAGATGAATCAGTTTCTTTTTTGCTTTCACTGGTGGCGTGATTACAGGGCGAGATTGCACTGTTAACTATAACACCACCCCTCAATTTGAAAAGTCACCTTTTCATCAAGCTCATTTATAGAAGCTGTCCCCCACTGCTGATGACTGGAGAGAACATTTGCTAAAAGAATGGCTCTGGCGGATGATGAATAGGGCTATGCAAGTGGTGGTAATAGCTCAAAACCCAGTTATTTTTAAAGAGAAGTAGTGCTATTGCTTGCCTTATTTTGTCAGAGCCGCATCTAGGCTCTGAAACCTCATGTGGCTTATGTTCATCTCTGCTGATTTATAGTATACCTGACCACTGGTGGTGACCTGTGGTGACCTGGTCATTCCATATTGTCTTTTCCCCTCGAGTGGCACTCCAGACTCAGATTTTTCTTGTAGAACTACCAGAAACCCAGTTTACATTTTATCTTGTACGCAAAATCACAGGCTGCAATCTGTTTTAATAGTTCCTGACAGCATTTCAGGTACAGGGTAGGTACTTTCTGCTCTAGTAACTCACGTATCCATCCTTGGAGATAATTCAGAACATGACTGTAATAAGGCCCTGAGCATACTGCTTTGAGCAGGGGTTGGACTAGATGATCTTCAGAGGTCCCTGCCAAGCTCAACTATGCTGCGATTCTGTGATATTTTATGTATAAACATTTTTTGTGCTGTACTTTGCAGTTAGTGGGGTAATGAGAATTTGCAAGGAACACAATATTTGGAATGTGATAGCAAATTCCTGCT